AAGGCTGCTGGGTGTGAATGCAGCAGAATGAAGTAACCGCACATTTGTTGGTGCTTTCCCAGCAAAGGATCTCCCCCGCCCCCTCCCTTGATAGAGACTGGCTACATGACCCTCACATCCTCTCTGCTGTGCCCATGAAGGCCCTCACGCAGCCAGTGAGTGGAAGGAAGCTCACAGCTAGAGTTAAAAAGAAAAGATGTTACCCCCTGCTGTTAGTCACCTTCATGGAAAAATGAAGGCAGGTTACATTTTGTGTCACCCTTGACTTGCTTAAACAAAGTTTTCCATGGAAAGAATCTGCTTAACACTGGACATTCTGACTATTCCGTCTGGGGACTAAACGTCTGTTTTCCTTTCTGATGAAAAGTCAACATTTTCCAGGGAGGGAAAATTTCTGCCTGGCTCCATAAATATACAAATATAGCTCAGGTTCAAATGATGATGAATTTGGAACAGGAATGCTCTTGTGTAAATCTTAGTAAGCCTATTAGAAAACTCCAGCCTCATAATTTATCCACCATCAATCTGAAAATTAGCTGTGCAAGACACTTTCTAGCATAGACAATGAACTGGGACTCAATAGCTGGAGTGGATTCAATCCCACAGAAGAGCATGGAGCTGGCTTTGGACCCCACCTCAGTTCATCAATGGTGAAATGGGTATAATACCATTTCTCTACCTCACAGGAGTGCTGCCAGGATAAATTTGTTAAGCTGTAGTTAGGATTCGGTAACCACAGGAGGCCCAAGACCATTTGCAAACTGCTAGAAAAGTTGTGTCAACAGAAAAACACACACACACCAAACTAAAAATTTCTGTTTTTACATTGAACAACACAAGCTTACACAATACTGAGCTGAAACAGGAAGCTCTCACCTCTTCTCACAAAATAAGTTATGGCAGGTGTCACAGACCAAAGACTTTGGCCTTGATGACAAACTTATAGAAGACGGAAATATTATTTCACCATCCTGAACTAGCAACATTTGGTTTCTGATCAGTGAACTCTAACCCAGCCACTTTGGTCTAGGTTTAATTTTTGCTTTAATTTTACCCAGCGCTCCCTAGAAGTCCCTTTAATTTGGAGATTGGAGGGAGAGTTGTCAAAATTCCACGCGATCTGTACACTATATACACACACATGGCAATGGGTTTGTCTTGTGTCAAATATTCAAAAATATTTGCTTTACGGAGGATCAAGCATGATTATAGTAAATACTAAGCATTACTCATTTCCTCAATTATATCAAAGATTAAATGACATATTAATCCTTGTACTTCCTTATGGCAGGCATTCCTACCTTGCTGCATGTACCTTGTGTTTAAGTCCCCTTCCCATCAAATTCTCAGTCAAAATACCATCATTTCAGAGAGTGATCGTTGCACACTGCTAGCCAGCAGCATGCAGAGGAACTATCCAAGCCTTAATGACTGAGGAATCTAACCTTATATTTTAAGGGGAAAAAAATATTAAATGAATTTAGTGCTTATAAAAGCTGCCACTACAACATCCGAAATACTGGATTCCTCTGGCTGTAATTGGACATGCACATTGCCCAGCACCTTTCAAAAATCAAGTTTCTGCGTTGGTGCTGGAGATTGAGGCAATCCTCACATACACACACTCATATCCTCCCCACTCTAGACGTGAGTCTATGCATGACCATGCTTTCTGGAGATCATTTTTCTTTAATAGGTATTCAGCAAATATTCCTTAAGCAGTTACATTTATAGGCATCCCCTGGCATGGATGTAACAGTGTGCCACCACCGTAGGGTTTTTTTTTTTTTAAAGAATCCAGTTAATTGAATAGTCGATTAACAACATGAATTCTTACTAGTTATGACTATTTTATAGTCCCCAGAAGTGGAGCCAGCAGCCACAACCAAGGAGACACCTGCCACTCTGCGCTGCTGCCTCTGTGGGGTGCCAGGTGGGAGCTACTCCATGAAGGGAGCTACTTTAAAAACCAGCTCCCCTCATGGACCAGCAACCTGTTGTCCCAACTACTGCCTCGGATATAGAGGCAGCAGAGTGGGGTGGCAGCAGCGCCTGTCTAGGGATGGGGGTCTGAGCTCCTGGACCCCACTTGAGCCAGAACTGAGCTGGGCTGCCTGCCTGGCTCCTAATACATTTTAAATGCAAAGCTGCAGTGGGGATAGGTCCCAGACACAACGCAAGCCAGGACTGAGCCAGGCTGCTGGCCAGCCTGCTAAAAAAATTTACTGGTGGGGAGTGAAGGGGGGCCAAATGCATGTAGTCTATATAATTAACTGATAAGCTTTTGCTTATCAGTTAATCGACTATACTATTACATCCCTAATCCAGATTACTTAGATTGTAAAATCTTTAGAGCAGAGAACAGCTTTTTGTTCTTTTTGCATAGAACTGTAACGTAACTAGTGCTCCTATATGTACCCTTCATGTAAATCATAAGTAACTCAGCTACAGACTACCTCTCTGAAAAAATGAATTGAGCATTATTTTTGCAACGTGATTGAACTGGCTGTTTAGTCATGTTTCACTAGCCAATCACAGTCAAGGATGTTTCATATTGGGAAGTTCAAGCAACAGAAAACCTAATTTGGGCATAACATATCCATTCCTCACACTTGATCATGGAGATAGTCAGCAGTGGAATCAATTAATCCAATCTTCAGTCCTTGTACAACTTACTCCATTTTTTCTCCTAAATTGTACACACAAATTTACCACATGGGGGTTTTTGTTTTTCTTCCTAAAGATAGTCACATGGAGCTCTGCCTCTGCATAGTAATACAGCTGTTGTGTTGAAGTACACACAGGATAGGATATAAGAGAGGTAGAGACTGCTGTACTGTGGGCAGTAACACATGCAAACCTGTTTTTTGGAAACAGCCATGTCAGTAATGAAACAGTTATACTCTCTGCCTCTAGCTCACTTTGGTTCCAGTACCTAGAGAGCCCTGCACAGATACAAACTTGTATCCACAGTTGCATCTGTATCCACAAAAATGGGCCACATATATCCCTGACTACATCTGTGGATGCAGATACCCACAGATATCAAGTGAATAGCCATGGAGTTGCAGGGTTCTATCAATAACTGTAAGACCATAAGAACAGCCATACTGAGTCAGACTAAAGGTCCATCTAGCCCAGTATCCTGTCTGCTGACAGTGGCCAATGCCAGATGCCCCAGAGGACGTGATCAGCACAGGTAATCATCACATGATCCCTCCCCTGTCATCCATTTCCAGCTTCTGACAAACAGAGGCTAGGGACACCATTCCTACCCATCCTGGCTAATAGCCTCTGATAAATTCATGGAGAGTAGGTCTATCTAGTTCTTTTTTTAACCCTCTTGAAGTCCTGGTCTTCACAACCTGGTCTGGCAAGGAATTCTACAGATTGATTGTGCCACATGAAGAAAAACTTCCTTTTGTTTGTTTTAAACGTGCTACCTGTTGAATTCATTTGGTGACCCCTAGTTCTTATGTTATGGGAACAAATGAATAACTTTTCCTTATTCACTTTCTCCACACCAGTCATGATTTTATAGACCTCTGTCATATCTCCCCCTTAGTCCCTTCTTTTCTAAAATGAAAAATCCCAGTCTTTTTAATCTCTCTTCATATGGAACCCATTCCAAACTCATCATTTTCATTGCCCTTTTCTGAACCTTTTCCAGTGCAGATATATCTTTTTTGAGATGCGGCAACCACAGCTGTACACAGTATTCACCATGTGGTCATACCATGGTTTTATATAAAGGCACTAAGATATTCTATGTCCTATTCTCTAGCCCTTTTAAAATGATTCCTAACATTGTTTGGTTTTTTGATGCTGCTGCACATTTGATGCTGATGTCCCCAGCTGACCCCGGCTCCGCGTAGCATTTTAAATCGTCAGCGCAACATAGAGCCCACGATCAGTGGCGGATTCTGAGTCCTATGCTGACCCTGGGCTCCATGCTGCACTTCTGCTTGGAAATGCACAAGAGCCTCTGCTGTGGACTCTTGTACATTTCAAAGCTGGCACCCTGCGTGCAACCTGGAGTTAGTGAGACTTCCTGCTGGCCCTGGGCTGTATGCAGAGTTCCTCATTTCTCCTTTGAAATGTACACGAGCCCCCGCTGGCTGGGGAGCTCTTGTACAGTTCAAAGGAGGAACGTGGAAGTGCCTATTGACTAGTATTCCATCGACTACTTGACAAGTAAATTAACCGTTACTCAACATCCTTAATTCCTATCCTTTGTTTCATGTCTTAACCAGTTATCAATCCACGAGAAGACCTTCCTTCTTATCCCATGACAGCTTACTATACTGAAGAGCCTTTGGTGAGGGACCTTGTCAAATGCTTTCTGGAAATCTAAGTAGACTATATCCACTGGATCCCCTTCTCCACCTGTTTGTTTACCCCCCTCTGTGAACTCCAGTACATTAGACAGACATTATTTCTCTTTACAGAAGCCATGTTGACTTTTCCGCAACAAATTATGTTCATCTCTCTGACAATTTTATTCTTTACTATAGCTTCAACTAATGTGTCTGGTACTGAAGTTAGATTTACTGGTCTGTAATTGCCAGGACTACTTCTAGAGCCCTTTTTATGTATTGGCGTCACGTTAGCTATCTTCCAGTCATTAGGCACAGAAGTCGATTTAAAGGATAGGTACCAAACCACAGTTTGTACACATATTTGATGTAATTAGTGGAGAAAATGTCTTACTGATGGCAAAATCATACTGAATCTGTGTACTAACATTACAGGACCGTTGTCTCAACACTGCATCAGGTCTACTCCTATTAACTTTTGCCAAATGTAAAGTTTGTCCCACAGTCTTTTAGGCATTTGGAATACATTTACTTTTCCTCTCCAATGTCTCAGGAACTATGAGCTGCTTTGTAGCAGCTGTTAGGACTGTCAAATACATTATTACTGGTGGTGAAGAGGGTAAGGGAACAGATTTAAATCTTTGCAAAGGGAGAGGTGGGGGTCTAGCATCTGATTTACAAGAATTAATATGCCATTGCAAGAAATAAGCATCCATTACCTCCAGAGGGACTATGATCAGCATTTCACATAGTTCAGACTTAATTATACACATTTCCACTGACTCTGCTTTGGGTTGCTGT